GGTTTCTTTCTCACTTTGTCTCTCGCTGTCTCTGGTGAGCACATGTGCTCTATAGCAAATTTTTAAAAATTATAATAATAAATGGGGCTGGCAGGTGGAGTGGTAAAGGCGCTAGAATCCCTCATGCCCGACCATGGTTCAAGTCCCAGGCCTGGCAGCTTGCTTTCTTGCTTTCCCTTTCTCTCTCTCTCTCTGGTGAAATTAAAAAATAGGGGGTCGGCAGGTGGCATGGTGGTTAAGGGTGCTGGATTCCCACATGGCTGACCATGGTTCAAGTCCCGGACCTGGTGGCTCACTTTCTCTCTCTCTCTCTCTCTTTCTCTTTCTCTCTCCCTCTTGCACTGTCCCTCTCTGGTCAAAATAAAATAAATAAATAAAGTTAAGTAAAATAATCCTTTTTTGAAAGAATTATTTAATTTTATGTACTCATTCTTTTTTTTTTTTTAATTTGACCACAGAGACAGAGAGAGTGATACGGAAAGTGAGAAAGCAAGCCACCAGGTCTGGGACTCAAACCATGGTTGGCCATATGGGAATGTCCAGCGCTTTAACCATGCCACCACCTGCTGGTCCCCCAAAAAAATTATTTAAAAAAATAATAAAAAATAAAAATAAATAAGAATTTTAAAAATTAAAATAGTAAATAAAATTGTGCCGACAGGTGATACGGTAGTTAAAGGCACTGAATTCCCACATGTCTGACCGCAGTTCAAGTCCCGGTCCTGGCAGCTTGCTTTCTCACTTTCTCTGTCTCTCTCTCTCTCTAGTCAAATTTTTAAAAATAATAGTAGCAACTCGAATAAAATTAATTAAATTAATAATTCTTTTGTAAAATACACAAAAGGACCAACAGATGGCGCAATGGTTACATTGCTGAACTCTCACATAGTCAACAGCTGTTCAAGTCCTAGACTCAGTGTCTTCAAACTCATACCTGAGCTTCCAGCAAGTGGCATAGTGGTTGGAGGCACTGGACTCACACATGCCCAACCACAGTTCAAATCTTGAACCTAGTGGCTTTCTCTCTTCTCATTCTGTCCCTCTCTGGTCAAATTAACATAAATAAACTTAAATAAAATAGTTTAAAAAAAAAAAAAAACTCATGCCAAGTGCACGTGTCCAAGATCCTGAGAGGAAAATGGAGAAGAAAGAATTGTGTGGTGGCCATCTCCCCCAGGGGGGTGTGGGGAGTGATTTCTTACTAACTGTGTATCTGG